AGATGCCCCCCGGGCAGCCACGCTTGTGCTCTTTATCCATTCCCTGATACTCCATGGGCTGATTAAATCTTCCCTATTTCCACAGCTGGCGCTGAGAGCAACACACCAGCTACCACGGACTACCAGGTCACTGTGGACAAAACTGCTAAGTTTATGGTTACTGCAAACCAGAAAAGTAACTGAAGAAACTAAAGAATGAGAACAAGGATATTTTGCATCATGTCACACTTGCTAGAGCTGCATTTCAAGCAATGTAATCATCATTTCGGCGCTGAGAGCAACACACCAGCTACCATCATTTTGCATCTTTATTGAAAGTATAGTGAAAACTCAATTTTGATTCCCAAGTGGCTTAGAGAGCACTCCGGAGGAATACCAGGCTTTTCAGACCACACCATTTTCACACTAACACACTACATCTAACAATAAAAATGTACCCTTGACTGACGCGATTTTCCTCTCCCCTCCTGTTAGCGTCATCTGTTTGGAGATGAGTTTAGTGCCCCTGAGCAGTGCCAGGAAAAGAATTTCACTTTTCACCACCATCAATAATTTATCTGCAGAGATAGAGCTGTGGGCAGGACGCTCTCCTGAGGGGGACTGCTCACAGAGCAGGGGAAAAAGCAGCTCAGGGACAAGCCTTGCCCTTTTAAATTAAAACACTCAGCCATTTCACTATTTGTCTGACCTGAGAGCTGCTAGACCTGTCCTGGCTACCACCTCCTGAGATCCCTGGTTCCCTGCCTCTAGAGCTCAGGATGTTGTTTTCAGATCTTTCCTACCCTGCTTTAAATAAAGTGTTTCCTTTGCCTTTACAAAAGGTTTAATGTTTACAAAACAAAGTCAAAGAAAAGGGATGAAAAGAACATGCTGAGGAGCCAGTATGTAATAAGCTGCATCCTGCAGGCAAATCTTCTCACCCTCTCTTTCTCTCTCTTTCTATAAAGTTTTTACACTGACAAAAGGGGCCAGACTGACGTCCCAGGCCCTGAACAACAATATAAGCAGAGCAGCCGACCCCTCTCTTCCCAAGCCAGCCCACCTGCCTGACCAAGCACTGTGCCCATCCCAGCAGTGTCTGGTTCCCACATTTCTACTCCTTTTCCTGGGCAAGGGCACCACATATTCCTGGCAGGTGTGTGTGCATGGGGCACAAAGGAGTTCAGGGTACAGACCCATACATACAGGGTCATTGGAGATCAAGTGCCAGAGGCATGAGCAACTTGAGAGACTGGAGCCTGTTCATGCCACGGGGAAGTCTGTGTGTTGGTAGCAAACATCAGGGTAGACACAAGTTCCCAAGCAGTGGATGCACTGATATAACTACGTATGTTCTTACTTATTTTGAGCTACTGAATCCTCATTTCAAAGCAAATAATTCCACTGGGCAAAAGCAAAACAAAAAATCTCAAAGATTGCAGTGTAGGTGCAGATATAATCGAATGGCCCAAACTCATCAAATGCTGCTAGAAACAGTCTCTTAGAGAAGACACCAAGTAACTTTTTCCATCTGCTCCCCAATTGCAGCAGTCAAGTTCCCTGGGAGGGAGCAAATGAGTCTCCTCATTTGCTAGCAAAACTTCTAACACACATTGCTGAAATCACCCTGGGTAACAACACTCATGATGGAACCTCACCCCTTCCAGGAAGGCTGCTCTTCAAGAGAACTATAGACCCCTGGTTAAAACGATAAGCTACTAATTATAAAATCTGTCTAAAACACATTTCCATGTAGTTTCCAAAACAGATAGAATTTCTGTTTAGCTAGGGGAAAAAAAAAAAAATCAAGATCCAAGAAGCCTACAAACACACGGTATTTAACAAAAAAATCTTTATGCTTTTTAAAAACAACACTGTATTTTTCATGTGTTTTTCAAAAGCAGAACTCAGAGTTACAAGAATGCAGACAACAACTGAAGTTGGTGATATCCCTCAGCGTAATTTGGACAAGTTCACAAAGTAAAGAAAACAGTGTGTGAAAGACTAGCGGGTACTGGCTGCTCTGATGCCAGAGGAGAGAGAAAAAAAAAAAAAAAGAGAGGAAGCTGAGTCAAACTGCAGTGCCCACTCACCTCACTCCCCTCACTGCTAATTGGAGCAAGGAAAACCTGCAGCAGTCACTCCTGTTTTACTGTCTTGCTGCCTGGCATGAACCTTTACCCCAAGGGAAGGTCTGGAAAAGGACTAATGCTTGATGGTTTGTTTTATTTCTTCAGTTGATGAATGCACAGATCTTAGAACAGCCATTGACTTCAAGCGTAAAATGAAGGATACGTGTGTTTGCAAACCATACATTATTAAACTTTATCCTTATGATTTCTAGGAACAGCACCAAGGTAAAATCATCGGTGATGTGAGGTGATTGCATCAACTAAAGTGGGTTTAAGAAGAATAAATCTTGTTCTGAGTAGTTACATATTTAGGGATTTTTGAGCAATAATCCATAACAAGTGACTTGGCTTCTTCCAAAGTTCAGTTTTGCCTCAGAACACAAACAGAAAAGTAGCTTACTTAAAACAAGTCAGATGCAAGTGTAAGATACACAGTGCAGTGACAGGCTTGTGGACAGGCTGTGAGGTCCCACAGATGGAAACTCCTGCATCTAATGACACTCCCAGGCATCACTAAATCTTGTGCAATCTTGTTTGAAAGCTAAATTCAAAGCAACCTTGTGCAAAACTTCAAGCAAGTCACAGATTCCCGCTCAAGATGCACAGCTCAGTCTTTTCAAATTCACTATGAAAAAGAAGCAGCCTTATGGAAGCTCAAGTCTGCCACAAACAAAAGCCCTTTAAACAACTTGTAACCATTTTATACTAGTCATTTCCTCTAAGGAATAAAATAAGTAGGCAAAGCAAGAGAAAAAAGTAAGTGTAATTTGCAGCTCTGTTATTATACACTGTAATTTATATCTTCCTAGGATTGCAACACTCCTGTGAAACTTCTGGAATAAAAGTATATGAGAAATAGACACCTAGAGCAAAACATCTCGGGGATAAGCCAGAAACTGCCATATATTCACTAACATTAACTCCATAATGTAGTATTTCTATTCTGTCCTAAAGCAGCCCAACGGAACAGACTGCAGTCCTCTCCAGCACTGCCACCAACCCACCCAGGGCTTCTCAAGGGCACCTTTGTCATTAGCTGGCTGCCCTGTAACTCCATCCTACACTATGGACTGTCACTCTGTCACAGCAGTGTATCCCACAACACTGCTTATTCATCCAGAGGCTGTGTTTTTTTTTCTGTAGAGACCTGGAAAAGGCAAAAATACCTTAGATACTGGCAGGATTCACACATGGTAAGCAGTCATAAAAGTTAGGATTCAGTTATAATAATATTAAAAAAAAGCTATAGAGGTAATCCACACTTAAGTAATTTAGGCAGAAAAGGCCAATTTATTCACAGTAAGAGTCTTAAGTCTTAAGGGAAAGCAGCTGGTCCCTCATCACAGTCCTCTCAGGAAGGTGGTTAATTAGAGAGCACTGACTCCAAAACAAACCTTTGGCACTCTACAGCTCTGAGTTGGCACACAGAAAGTAAGATAACAGGGGTGAACACCTATTTAGATAATAAGATATAAGTTCTTATTTCTTAAAGAGATGTCTCTGAAGTCCTTTGCCTGCAGGCCTGAGGCAGGGCATTACATAAGCGATGTGCAGGGGAAATGACAGGGCAGGAGGCCTCTGAACAATTCCGATTTAAAGTAAGTCCCATCAAGAGAAGTTAAGCCTAGACATGTCCCCAAGTGTATTTAAGTGCCCAACTCTGCTGCAAGTTGTTCAGCTGCAACTGAAT